CAACCACAGTGCAAAGTCAGGTTGGTAATATATACCCTTGATCTGATGTGGTGAGACTGGTGCTTTACCTGCATGATCTTACTCCCAAGAACTTGTAACTCCAGTTTAACCCTGAGAAGATCATCAGAAACCCTCAAATGGAGCAGTGCCTGGCTGACTCAGTCGGAAGAGAATGCAACTCTTGAGAGCATCAACTCGGGGTTGTAAGTTTTTGAGCCCCACGTTGGCTATAGCGATTACTAAAATAAATAAATAAATTTTACCCCCAAAAAGGAAAGAAAAACTCAAATTGAAAGTCTACAAGCTGGGCGCCTGGGTGGCCCAGTTGGTTAAGCGACTGCCTTCGGCTCAGGTCATGATCCTGGAGTCCCGGGATCAAGTCTCTCATCAGATTTCCCGCAGAGCGGGGAGTCTGCTTCTCCCTCTGACCCTCCCCCCTCTCATGCTCTCTCTGTCTCATTCTTTCTCTCTCAAATAAATAAATAAAATCTTTAAAAAAAAAAAAAGAAAGAAAGAAAGTCTACAAGCTATCCGGCCAATACTCCTCAAAACTGTCAAGGTCATCAAAAACAAGATAAGCCCGAGCAACTGTCCCAGGCCAGAAAGAGTGCAGATGCAGAGAGGCATGATGATGTATCCTGGACATAAAAAGCACATTAGGTAAAAGCTAAGGAAATCCAACTAAAATACAGACTTCAGTTAGTTAATAATAACGAATCAGTGTTGGTTCATTAATTGTGACGAATACAGATGGTCCCCAACTTACGATGGTTCGACTTAAGATTTTTCGAAAAGCGATATGCATTCCGTAGTAACTGTACTTCAGGTTTTGAGGTTTGATCTTTTCTTGGCTCTCTGGTGATGCTGGGCGGTGGCAGCCAGCTCAGCTCCCAGACAGCCAGGCGATCTTGGGGGTGAACAACCGATATGCTTACAACCGCTCTGTACTATACAAGCTTTCTGTTTGTCACATTCAAGTACAGTGTTCGATAAATCCATGAGATAGTCAACAATTTGTTGTAAAATAGAATAGTCTTTGGTTAGATGATTTTGTCCAACTGTAGGCTAACATATAAGTGCTCTGAGCATATTTAAGGTAGACTAGGCTAAGCTATGATGTTCAGTAGGTTAAGTATATTAAATGCATTTTTGACTTAATGCTATTTTAAATTTATGATGGATTTCTTGGGATGTAACCCCATTGTAAGCCGAGGAAGATCTGTATGTTACAATAGAGGAAACCAGGGTGGGTTAAAATTCTTATAAGGACTGGAACAGAAATGACGATGGGAAAACGAACGGAGTAGAGCGCGACCTACTCCACAGACTGTAGGTGTCACTACTGAACATTGTAGCAGGCGTCACTTGTTCTCCAGGTGCTAACTGACCCCCGAGAGAAAGATAAGGTCTTGCCTGATTGTGACCCTGCTTTCCAAGTCCTTGACTACCTCTTCCTGACTTGGGAGCACACTTGTAGACACCAGTACCTTTAAAAATCCAGACTAAGAGAGCCATGGTCTCTCTTCAATAGCCTAGGACCCCACAGAAGTCCTTCTTTCCAGGCCCTGGACACACCTTCTCCAGGGGACTTACACCAGGAAGAACTTTAGATGAGACGTCTCACTGTTTTCCCATGGGGTGTGGTCTTGGGGCTGATGGTTATGCTTTAAGTCAACAGTAGACCGATATCTTAATCCAACATAATATTCACAGACACTCCTGCCCATTAACCAGGCATCATTTTCTTCTCTGCTGAGCAAACATTTCTCCATTTGGTACATGAAGATATTATGGAGGCCTTAGACCAAGGTCTTTCCTAACTACAAGTGCAGGGCAGGGAAGTATAGAGATTAAGAGGAATGGTTTGGAATACATAACCCTAGATTCAAATCCTGATTCCATCACTTATTAATTTACTTAAACCCTATGACCCCAGTTTCCACAACTGTAAAGTAAGGATAATAATAATGTCTGTTTTACAGGATTCTTGAAGAATGAGTTGAAATAATTCATACAATGTGCTTAACATAGTACCTGGTATATAAGGTCTCAGACTCCTGTCAAGATTCTTCAATAAAGCGGATGAGAAGACCACAGGTTCCAGGGAATTCGCACCTGCCACCAAGGTCACAAATCCATTAGTGATACAGAAGCCAGAATAGAGAAAGAGGGCTGGCTGCATCCTGGAGCCAGTGGGTAAAAAGGAAGGAATAGCAAAGGATGTATCCATAGCCAAACTTGACTAAAGGGTTGCTGGGGAGCGTCACTGGGGAGTGACGCTCCCCAGCAGCCCCCCAAGACCATTGCAGAATGGCTCTCAAGGTCTCGTGCATGTCTGTGACCAGTAGTACTTTATATTCTCCAGGGTCATCATCAGATAAATCATCATTAAAACTGCCCCATCTCCACCCCAGTGAGGACTTGCCCCACACCAGGCACACACCTGGAGAGGCTAGGGAAGTCTAGGAAATCCAAGATGTGGGTTGATATGACCTGAGCCTCTGGAGCACCCCTCATGTGCCAGACACTAGCCCTTTAGTTGAAGGACTGTGGGGAGGCCCAGGCAGTACACCCAGGGGCAGCCACAGAGTCTCAGGGCATATCAGCCCCCCTGTTTTACCCTGGCACCCAGCACTGTGCCTGGCACATAGTTGCTGCTTATTGAGCACACAGATGGAAGAATGAAAGGCCTCTGTCCTCAAGGCCTTCATGGTCTAGCAGGGGAGACTTGGCACAGTGCAAACCCACAAAGAATCTTGCCCAGCAGTAAGCCTGGATTGTGGCCATTGGACACCTTGGGGGGGGGGGTGAAGCACTTCTAGGGTGATGGGTGGGAGGACGTGGGAGCCCGGGTGGCCGAGGAGGAATGCTGTGTGCATGCACAGGGCCCAGCTGTCCCAAGAGTGCCAAGGAGCTGCATGACTCAGGGTGGGGCAGGGCTGCAGGCTGGAGGAAGGGTGTGGTACTCTGGGGAAAGGGCAAATGAACCTCAGGAGGAGCTCATCCCTTCCTGCCTGCCTTCTTCGGTCCTTCCATAGTTTACTGCTTCCGGGCAAAGGCCACTGCAGAAGGCCACAGACAAGCAAGAGCTTTTTCCGCATCTGCAACAGAAGTAGCAAAGATCAAAATGGGACAAAGTACCAAAATAAAGTAACACCTCAAAGATGACTTAAAAAATAAGGGCAGCTCCGTGTCACAGAAGTCTGAGCTTCAGTATTGGACAAGCCAGGTTAAAATCCCAGTTTAGTTTAAACTCCTAAACTTCTAGCACCTCAACTCCCTAAGCCTCAGTGTCTGCTTCCATCTGGGTGTGGGCGATGGTGTCTGTAGGGGGCCTGGCTCATTCATCCAGTCATGGGCTTAGGGACGTGTAGGGAGACATCACCTTTCGCTGTCCCGGACCCTGACGGTGAAGTGCCCCGGGGCAAAGAGACACTAAAAGCCACACGGGCCTCTGTGTAGGGCCAGAAAGCCAGCCACCTTCCCTGATAACTGTTGAGTGACTGTGATCACCTACTAAAATCGTCCCAGCACCATCCAGTACCCAAGGGGAGGGAACGGGGCGGGGTGACTGGTCCTCTCGGCCAGCCCTCGGCTTTCTAGCAATCCATCTCTTGTGCTGGCCTCTGGGTCCAGTCCTGGAGGATGTGGGAGAAGAGGAAGGCCTCGCCCCTGCCCTTTGGAAATGCAGAAGGCAGGAGGACTAGCCACTGTCCGAGCAATGGCACAGAGGGTCAGGCCTCCCCAGGTCACAGGTCCCCAGCACTAGCGGGAGCCTCCCGGTTCAGGCCATGGGCATGGCGACCTCCCAGGCCTGCTAGCACTCCTCCTCCTCCATGCCAGCCACACCCCGTGCCTGCACCTTCACCGCTCACACCGGGCCCTCGCTGTGCTCTTCCTGCCACCTGGAAGGCCCTTCTTCCAACTGCGTCAGGGAAGGTTCCGAGAGGCCCTCCTTCCTCTCTTCTCCCTCAGAACTTCCATTTCTTCCCCTAATACTGATGGAAGCCTGCTCCGGGGTAGAGCCTCAGTGAAGCAGAACGTGGACCCCACCTGCACAAAGCCTGAGCAGTTCCCACAAAAGGGCAATTATCTCTCCATTCTGAGGTGGTTGGTGTGTCTGTCTCCCAGCTTGGACTGTGCACTGCATGGGCAGGGGCTGTGTCTGTCCTGCAGGACTCAGAGGAGTCAGTCCTGAGGCTAAGGAACGGCCAAGGGCAGGTCCCTGCAGTGGGTAGAGTTTGTAGAGGAGGGAAGGGGGCAGGAATGGAGCAAGGGTGTGGAGGTAGGCCTGAGTCCGGCGGTGCAGGAGCCGGTGCGGAGACCGGCCTGGCCTTGTTGGGGGGAGGGGCAGTGAGGTCAGCTGGTGCACAGGGCAGGAGTTCAGGTGCCACCTCCTGGGGCCTTGGGCCTTTCTCCACAGCTCTCAGTTTCCCCAACAACTGGTTCTCCCTCCCTCACCCTCTACTTTCCAACAAGGTATCTAGAAGTCCATGGATCAGGGACTCGGGGAACAACAAGGTAGGTGGCCAGAACTCTGGTCATCTGAGAGTCTAGGACCTTCCTGTGGTTAAGTCCTGGCTCCAATCTTCACCTTTTCTACCTGGAGTTGGCAGGTAAAAATACAAGACACCCCCTGAAATTTGAATATCAGAAACACAACAAATAATTCTTTAGCACAAATAATATTTGAGACATGCTTATACTAAAAAATTATTCATTGTTTTCTTTTTTTTTAAAGATTTTATTTATTTATTTGACAGAGAGAGAGAGACAGTGAGAAAGGGAACACAAGCAGGGGGAGTGGGAGAGGGAGAAGCAGGCTTCTCGCGGAGCAGGGAGCCCGATGTAGGGTTCGATCCCAGGACCCTGGATGATGACCTGAGCCGAAGGCAGACACTTCACAAGTGAGCCACCCAGGCACCCCTATTCATTGCTTTTCTGAAATTCAAATTTTTGGTTGCTAAACCTGGCAAAACTTTGCCCACTCCCTATTTCAGAATCTGCCACTTGCCCCGACAATGAGGCTCCAGGAAAGCATCAGAGAGGTCCTGGGGCTCCTGCAACACGTTCAACAAAACAGGAATTTAGAGCTGGAAGGAACCTGGAAGATTATTTAGCTGATCCCTCTCCCTATATGTGGACGAGGAGACTGAGGCCCAGAGGGGACAGGCCCTGGCAAGCCCTTGGGCCCCTCACACCCCCTTGGCTGCAACTTGGGCCTCCTGGAGAGCAGAAGGTCCCCGGAGGCCAGGCCCTTTCCAGGTAAGGCAAGGCGGAAGTCTTCAGGTTCCCGCTCTACCCCCCACCCCACCCCCACCCCCAGGCAGTTTCCCGGATCCTGACACCCCCAGGTGAGTCACCTCCACCTGTCAGGACAGATCTGGAGCAGTGCCAAGGCCCTGGGCTCCTCAGGTCCTGCTGGGCTCCCTGCCCAGAGGAGCAAAGTTGGCGGGGAGAGGGGAGGTCCTGTGTGCAGCCGGTGCACGTGTGGGTGGGTGGGGCTCGACTTTGCGGGAGAGCCTGGTCTTCCAGAAAGCTCATTGCCTAGCCATCCGCCTCAGGCCCTTCTGATAGCCAGGCTGACAGGGGCCCTCAGAGATGACACAGCTCAATTCCCAGTGAGGTGGGGAGTGGGGGCAGGGTCTTGACCAAAGTCACCCAGCCAGTTGGATCCACAATCAGGTTCTTTCTCTCAAATGAGTACGCCATGCTCCCTGCTGGAACTGCCCGCCCCCTTCCCTGTTCTGTGTTTCTTTATCGCACTTCACCCTTCTCGACACATTATGTGTTCATTTGGCTTTTGTCAGTCTTCAGTTAAAACATAAATCCTGCTCAATGTCTTGAGATCCTAGAACAGTGCCTGGCACTAAGTAGGACTGAATAAGCATTTGTTGCCCCTAACACGTCTTGCCTTCTGTGGGACACGCTACACGATGCCATAGTTGCCGTCTCCCCAAACATGCAGGTTCTGCCGGGAACACGGCTCTGTGCGGGGCTGTGAGTCCCCAGGTCTGGGCGTGTGGCCTCCTCCTCCATTGCAGCCCAACCTCAGTCTGGGAATGAGACAGTAATAGCACAGGGCTGAGATGGACTGACGGTGGTTTTCGGGGTGCTGCTTGGTAAGGACTTGGGTTGTCACCTGTCTGCCCTAGTACACCCTGCTAGACCAGATAAGCCTATGACACCGGGGCATGGCCAGGAAGCTCAAACCCAGAGTCCCACCCAGCTGACCACTCCCAGACAGTGGCCCAGGGGACAACACTGAGCCAGGAGCTGCCGACCTGTCTGCCTCACTGTGTGACGTGGCCCATCCCCACCCCTCACCGGGCCTCATTCTGCCTGTCTCTACAATGATGCTTCCAGGCTGGCCGATCCGTAAGGCCTGCTAGTTCAGCCCGCCTTTAGTCTCTTCCTACTTCCTCTCCATCCCAGGCCTCTGCATTGGTCACTCCTATCCAACCTCCTGGGGTGTCCCAGACCCTCCCCCGCATCCTGTCAGACCCTTTGCTGACCCTGTTCCTGTCCTTCCCTGTGGCCCAAGTCCAAGTTATGTCTGTCATGGACACTGTAGGTGGTTGGGGCTCCTAGGACTAACCTGGGGCCACTTGGGACACTTCCACGTCATTCAGAGGCTGTTACTCAGATTGCCTGCCCCACACCCTCTGACCAGTCTAGATGTTCTCATTTCTAGTCAGACCATCTCTCTGGTATGTCCAAAGCCAATCTCTGCATCTTTCCCCAGACTTGCTCCTCTCTCAACCTCCCAGCCAGGGTGCCTCCAGTCAGCTGGTCACCTGGGCCTGGAACTCCGAGAATCACGGAGCCTGCTCTCCCTCCCTCCTTGCCCTCCTCCAATCCGCCACTCAGTCCTGGCCACCCCTCTGTGATATCCTGGGGGATCATCCACTTCTCCACTTCGTCAGCCTCACCTGTGTTCATACTTCATCTCCTCTCACCTGACCTTGAGGGCAGAGGGTGCCTCGACTCCATGCTCTCTGCCTTCAACCCACACTCCATGCAGCGCCAGAGAGGAAGTGCCAGTGGCAGCAAATCCAACCTCGTCACTCTCCTGCTCAAAACCCTCCCATGGCTCCCCACTGCCCTCAGGATAAAGTCTGCTCCTTGGCCTGGCATTCAAGGCTCTTCACGATCTGTCAGTCTCACCCACTCATCTCATACTGCTGTTCCACTGACCACTGAGTGTTCAGCTCCCAGCTTTGGCTCAAGACATTCCTTCCACCTGGAAGGACTCCCTCCTTCCTAATCCTCAGATTCCTCCCCTTTTAATCGTCCAGAGAGTCCACAGTCGGAATCGACTTGCTATCCAGGGAGGATGGATAAACAAGGCTTTTCTCAGGGGGCATGTGTGTGTTTTTAGTCAGTCAACATTTATCTATTTATCTGTGTACACACAGCCTTGTTTCAGAAAGGATTTGAGGTGGGCCATTCAACGTTTATTGAGTGCCGGCCCGGACCGCGAGTCCCATACGGACATGCAGTCCGCGACACTCCCACTCGCAGCCCCGACCAGGGAACCAGAGGGCCAGGGCAGAGGGCTCCGGGGCGAGAGATCTCAGGAAGAAATGGGGATTTAGGGAGGTGGGAGGGTGGCTGGAGTGAGTGAACAGGAGAAGGGCATGAGAGGAGGCAGGAAGAGAGAGCACAGAAGGAGCAAGAGCTGTGGGTGGGGGAAGAGAGAACCACAGCTTCCCTCTGTGACCCCGGCTTGCATTTCCTTTCCCTCCTGCCCAGGTCAGCTTCAAGACTCGTTTCCCTTTCCTCTTGCAACATCACTGGGTGAGGGACGGTGGGGCTGGAGGCAATGGGGGTGAAGACCATGGGAGCCACTTGGGTTTCGCTTCCCCATGGGAAGAAGCCTGCATCCCCAGCTAGCCGGCAGCCCCGTGGGCACAGCACACTCCGGAGTTCCCAGTGCTCTTCCCATCCTCCATTCATCTCCTCTGTCCCAACCAGTCTGTGAATATGAATAGCCACATCCATGTCTTCAGGGAGGAAACGAAGGACCAGAATGTTGGTGACAGAGCAAGGACTCCAACCTGTGTTATCAGAGGCTAAAATGCTTCCTCTGCTAGTCCACGTGCCTTCTGCTCCTGAATCCTAGACAGCTGGACATGGCAAGGGGGCTTATGAAGTATGTGTTGGGTTGGCATAAGAGGGGTCCCCTCTCTGCACGTTCCAGGAAGGGAGGTACCACGGCCCAGGACTGACCTTCATAGGCTACTTTAGATACTGGTCCCACCTACATCTCCATCCAGCCCTGGGGTGCAGCACACAGAGCCCAGCTGGGCACCAGGAGGCCTGGGCTTCAGCCCCGCCCGGCTTTGCCCTCACTTGCTGTGTGACTCAGGTCCAGGCCTCAGCCCCTTGCCCCTTCCCTTCTGCAAGCGAGGTGCTGAGCTACAGGGTCTGCAAGTCCCGAGGTCTCTGACCTCTGTGGCTTCTGGTTTCCACAGGATTTGGTCTGTCTGCCTGGAGAGGGTTGTCAGGCTGAGAGTAGGACGAGTTCTTGTCCATCCTGCTGGTCAGTACTGGGGGGGGTCTCTCCGGGCCATGGGGATGGTGGCCAGGGGGTCAGGAGTCTAATTTTATCTGTTGTAGTCCAAGCTGGGGCTGGTCTGGCCCATTCCCCAACTGACCCCAACTGACCCCAATGCTGAGCTCAGGTTGAGCTGAGGCAGCTGTCAAGACAGCCCCAAAATTAGCCCCAACAGGGATAGGGAGGGGCACTGGCCCAGGCCTCAGGCTCCAACAGCCCCAAGGGACCCAGCCCTCACCTTACTCAAGGAGAGAGAGGTCGGCCAGAGTTCTGGCAGTGACCTTACCATGATGCTGGGTGGGGAGAGTCACAAACAAGTATGGACACATTTCAGGAGAGGGATTGAAGAGCAGGCACCCTCTGCCAGTTGCTGGGGCCCTGACGTGGTTCCCAGCCCCCAACCTGTCAGAGCCCTGGGAAGGACCAGGGACGGACCTTGCTATTTATACACTTTTAGAACAGGGTTGAGGGATCCAACCTACCCTCCCAAGGCTGAGTTGGATAACCTCACACATTAGCGCCAACTCCCAGGCACAGGGGAGGAGCCGGGAGGTATCAACCTGCCGATAGGGTGCAGGTGGGAGACTCTAGGGCCATGCCCAAAGCCAGCCCCCCTGACCCGGGGATCGTTACCCACTTCCCTCCTCTCTACCCCGGTGTTCCGAGGACCTTATTAAAATGCAGATTCTGATTCAGAAGCTCTGGAGTTGGGTATGAGATTCTTCGATACTCTAACAAGGTCCCAGCTTGGTCTGCAGACCACACCTTGATCACGAATTTTACTTCTCAGCCAGAAGGGTAGACCCCAGGGCCAGGCTCCCTGACTTCTTCTTCTTCTTCTTCTTTTTTTTTTTTAAAGATTTAATTTATTGGGCGCCTGGGTGGCTCAGTTGGTTAAGCGACTGCGTTCGGCTCAGGTCATGATCCTGGAGTCCCGGGATCGAGTCCTGCATTGGGCTCCCTGCTCAGTGGGGAGTCTGCTTCTCCCTCTGACCCTCCCCCCCTCTTGCTCTCTCTCTCTCTCTCTCTCGTTCTCTCTCTCAAATAAATAAATAAATAAATCTTTAAAAAAAGATTTAATTTATTTATTTGAGAGAGAGAGA